CACACACACACACACACACACACACACACACACACACACACACACAAATACAAATACACAATTTATTAGGACCAGTACTCCCCGCTCTGGCTTAGAATATAGTTATGCTCCTTTCTGCCTGTAAATTGAGTATTCTTGATCACCTTTTACTTTCTCATGCATCTGAAATCCTCAAGTATCATTTAGAGGCTGCTCTGCAAAATCTCTTACTTTTCAAGTTTTCCACAACAAATAACTCCTGCACACCAAAGACCTTTCTTTTCTTTCTTTCTTTCTTTTCTTTTCTTTTTTTTTTTTTTTTTTTTTTTTCATTTTTTTTCTCTTTTTTTTTTTTTTTTTTTTTTTTTTTTTTTTTTTTTTTTTTTTTGGTACCAGGATTGAACTCTGGTCCTTCTGCTTGTGAGGCAGGTGACAGTTTCATTAAATATTCTGAAAATAAAGACTCAACTTTACAAGTGAGGATCCTCCTGACTGATTTGGCAATCTCAGGTGCTAACCTGGTGACCTTCTCACCTATCTTAAATAAAGAATACAACTGATGTGTGTGAAGCAGCTTCAATTTTATTTTACTCTGACTTTTTAAACTGACAAGAATTGTGGCTTGTTACTTGAAGAGTTACATTTGAAATGGGCAGCGAAGAATCTGATTCTATTCTCCCCACCTATGTTTATTTCATCCATACTTTTAGTTTGGTGGGAAGAAAAATAAATGACAGTTTCCTTATTTTGGAACAGTTGAGTGTGATGCTGAACTCCTGTTGCTGCAAGGCTCCAGGTTTCTGTTGGAGATAAATCACAGATCAGAGTCCTTTCTCCTTGAAGAAGTCAAGGCCCAGGTTATACTCGCCCAACGTCACACTATCAGTGTTGGTAGAGTTAACTACCTTAATTGTTAGAAGTGTTAGAAATGTTAACATCTGAATCTCTTCACTCTAAAGATACTTAGCTTCCAAATGATACTGCACAGGGATTTTCAAAGTACCTCTCCCCTGAATAGTTTAGAAACACTGTACACTGAATCTTTACTGAGCTCATAATTGCTAATCGCGTGCCACCATGTCAGTTATTTTTCATTATTGTCACATACCTTTAACTGGAGTCATACCTGTGGAATGAAAATTATGCGACTCGTTTCATAAGTTGAACCTTCTTGCATTTCTTTACAGTTGCCTCCCCATCTATGTTTTAAGGTGCTGTAAGACAGGACACATAGCTTAACCCTAACTAGTGGTCAACAGTAATGATATTTGATATACATTAATATAATTAATCATAACAAGTTGATGCGGTTAAGTATTAAACAATCTAAAGTTCTGTGTGAGACTGTTGCCTATGCTGACCAAAAACAAAGAACAACAGCAAACCTTTTGAATTACTGTATTATGCATTTACACATTCAGAAAAATGCATGATTGGGAGCAGGGAGGTAGTTTGCCTAGCTTGTGCAAGGTCCTGGGTTCAGTCCCCAGCACTGCCTTGCCTTCCCCCGAAAAAGCATGATTAAAAGACTAGAAAATACACCAGAAGTTTAATATACATCTATATATGTCTTTACAGCCCTAACTAAGCATTTTTAAAAGCTATCTTTTAGGACCTCCACCCACCAAATTGAGTTACATGAAATTTTGTGTTAAAAAAACAGTTACCAATCATTTGACCTGTAGTTCTTGTCAGTTTCTTTGTTCTTCAAATAACTGACATTTCTACATCCTAGGGGAAGACAGTGTTGGCAAATAGAACAGACCAATTTTAAAGATGTGCTTTGGTTTGAAAGGCATGACACGCTTAAGACATTAAAGAGAGAAGGGCTGGGAAATAATGTGCCCTTCACTGGGCCTTCTGCCCTCTCGCCAAGTCTTTAAGTACAGTTAAGAGGCAGAATAGTACACTCTGTAATACCTTTGGTTTTTTAAACGACATTGAACAGGGAACATACGACTTGGTGTCATTTAATTAGATATATATCTTGCAGAAGGTATTCCGGAATGAAAGGCATTCATGAGTGGCTTAGGTGGGTCATCAAAAGCAGCCTCTGAAAAGAACTAGTAAAGGAAACAGAAATTCAGGAGCATATAATTTCTGTGTCTCGTATCGTGTATCTTTTCAGTAATATCTCAGTGTGTGGCCAAAGAATGCTTTCTTGGATGGACGAGAATTTGTGACTGCCCTTTCTGGAATTTCCTACTAAAATCTGAAAACAGTTTTAGCTAAAAATAATATGAGTGAAGCTCTTCTAATTATTTCCATAATTTTATTTAGACTGGCCGGCATGGTCTAGGAAGGAATGTAAGAAACCACTTTTAAACTCATTGGAAACTTGCTGTGGGTCACTGTGAGTGTTGAGATCTAGGTAGCAGTTCATTCTTTGCAGTCCACAGACTTATTTTTAGAGCAAGGGCATAGTGTTTGGCCACATCATAGCTAAATGCTGTTTTCAGAACGCACGCTTTAAAATTGTTATCCTGGTCAGAGAGTGAAATCAGTGGTGCCTGTTTTAGACCTGCGTGGAAGAATATAACTCAATACAGTGTCTTACCCTTGCTGATCAGAGGTTCACGGACTCATCTCTGCCCCAACTCCAAAGGATGGTATGGTGGACTTTAGTACTTTATGACTATCGGATTTTACACTTCGAACAGTTTTATAAAAAGTAAATGTTGAAAGGAAAATTGGCTTTTCTTTGTATGTATTCTTAGACATTCTTTTTGCTATTAACTCAAAATGTGTAGATGCTAGATTATGATAAATACATAAATGGCAAATATAAAATGATAAACTTAGGTCATCTGAAAATAAAACTAGTTTCTGCCTCTTTAAAATGTTCTCTAAAGCTTTTTAAACTAAATGGCTGTGAAAACTTGTCCTCTGATTTGTTTGGAGGAATCAGTTACACCAAGTGATTTAATGTGGCTCTCGTATAAGAAACTGATTTGGACAGCGTGTGGCGCCTGCCGAACTTAATTATAGATGAACGGGGCTCAGGCATGTATTCTTTGCCATTGTCCTTTCAACACGACGTGTCTTGGGTGACTTTGAACCTAAAGTGAGGGTATGCAGTACGTGTCGGTGGTGACTGGAAGAGATCTGTTCCTCAGTCGCCTTCCTCCTCCTCGCCTGTCTGCCGTGTGCTAGGACTGCTGGCTCAGGCAGGAACTGCGCAGGGGCCCACTGAGGACACTGAGTGTTCTGAGCTCCCTGTGGCACTGAAGTGTAGCCTCCCAGGTACCTGAGTTGCATTCTTGTTTGTTCATTGCTGTTAACTCAGCCAGTGGATTTGGTTATCAGCTATCGGGCAGCTGTTGTACAACAGGATGAAGGTTCTGTGATCTTGGTCATGTGCTGTGAGATTTGATGGACTGTTTATAAAAATTCATACTTTTGAAACCGAGCTCAAAATCCAAGTCTGATTTTTCACTTATAGTTTAGTCCTTTGAGTAATGATTTCCATTAGTTGAGAGATTTTTGCAAAGTGGTATTATCCTGCTGAAGATATTTAAAAAACTGCTCCTTAAATATATCAGGATATTGATTCAGTTTACTTTTGTTAATCATTGTTTTCATTCAAACTAAAATAAACTTCGATACTGATTTTATCTTCCTTGGATTTCCTTTTTTAGGATTCAACTACCACCATGTCAAGCAAAAAAGCCAAGACCAAGACCACCAAGAAGCGCCCTCAGCGCGCGACGTCCAATGTCTTCGCCATGTTCGACCAGTCGCAGATCCAGGAGTTCAAGGAGGCCTTCAACATGATCGACCAGAACCGAGACGGCTTCATCGACAAGGAGGACCTGCACGACATGCTGGCCTCGCTGGGTAATGCGCAGCCCTGATGTGAATGTGCTGGGTGACGTTTCTACGCTGCCTCTCGTGGTTATTTTGTGAGTCTGAAAGCTCGGTGGAGTCAGTGTAAGGAGTCTGTAACTTTCAGATGAAGTATGGAGCAGTGTTTACCACTGGGACACAGCAGATCCCCAGACATCTTGGTGTTGAGCTGTGTGTGTGTGTTCTTACAAAAAGCAGTAATGCTCCTACTAACGTCCCAGTGGAATTTCACGCTGTCTCCAGACTTTTAATATAGGCTCTATTTGTTCAGGAAACCTTTTTCCCAAATGTTTTTGCTATCATGGAAAATTACAAATGATCATCTCTCTTGACAGAATGTTCACTGCAAGTAATAGTTGTTAGGTTAAAGTTATGGCCCTCTTGCTGGGCGTGGTGGCGCACACCTGTAATCCCACCACTCGGGAGGCGGAGACAGGAGGATCGCTGTGAGTTCCAGACCAGCATGGGCTACATAGTGAGTTCCAGGTCAGCCTCAACTACATAGTGAGACCCTGTCTCAAAAAACAAAAAAAAGTTATGGCCCTCTTTTTTGTTTAGGGAAAAACCCAACTGATGAATACCTGGACGCCATGATGAACGAGGCCCCGGGCCCCATCAACTTCACCATGTTCCTCACCATGTTCGGCGAGAAGCTGAATGGCACGGACCCGGAGGACGTGATCAGGAACGCCTTCGCCTGCTTCGACGAGGAGGCCACAGGTAGGTCAGAGGTAACCTTTACTTACAAAGTGACTCCTGTTTTAATCCTGGTAACTGAAACACACACCTGGTAAGGTATGCTGACGTGACGCCCTCAGGTTTACACTACTCCTGTCTGCTCCATTGGTCAGGATTCCCCTCTGGCCTGGTCACTCACATCACTCCCTCGCCCATAAATAGTAGTTTACAAGATCTCATAGATTGTATTTGAAACCTCTGGAAAACTTCCTTTTTTCCTTTATTAACAGGTTAATTCCACAGGGATTAGGCTCTCACTAAGTGTGTTGAGCCAGCTGTGGTGGTGCACTGTGATCCCAGCACTCAGGAGGCTGAGGCAGGAGGATCGCCGTAAGTGCAAGGCTAACCTGGGCCACATAGTGAGTTCGAGGCCAGTCTGAGCTACATAGTGAAACTGTCTCGAAAAATCCCCACAAATGCGTTAAATGAACAGCCTTTACCAGAGCCAGCTTGGGCAGTGTGTAAATTACTATCAACTAGGCTTGCATACCAGGTTATCTGTCCACCCTGCAGTTGTTCACGTCTGCTGTCTGACCTCTCTTTTAAAGTAAACCAAGCAGACTAGGCCTGGAACCCAGGCTTCGGTCCTGGGCTTGTCAGAGCCGCAGGTGTCAGTGTCAGCGCAGGCTCTCAGCAGAGCCAGCCGCCTTCTGACTTGAGCGCACTGCTCTGAGCTCTGGGTATCTCCCAGCTCCTTCCAGACAGCACACGCACAGCTATGCTGCCTGACTCGGGCCGTTCTCTGCCATGCCTTGCTGTCCCACCTCCTCTGTCTCCTTTTACACTCAGCCCGTCCCTTGTTTCCAGGAAGAGTGGCGGAGGAAGAGTAGAAGAGACTTCTTTCCCTCTTCCTCCTCTACAGACACTTCCATATTGCTCGCATATGAGCCAGTGAAAGAATGAGCTGCAGAAGAATAAGCAGTCTTTTCTGTTCACACACCGTCACCCTTCGTGGAGCCTTGTCTGTGACGTCTTACTCCTTTCCCCGGCTCCCGGGAAAACAAAAGACCTTCCCGTTCTTTTCACGCACTAGGTGTTTTATGTGTGTCTCTCTCGACGCATACACTGTTTGACTGTATGTTTTGTACACTTATTTCTAGTTACCGAGATTCCTTCCCACCCCGATGGCTGCTTGTGTCAACCAGTGTGTTGTTCTCATCTTTGTAACCTTTCTGGCACCTACCACCGTCCCTTGCACACAGTAGTTTATGTAGCAGTGGAACGACCTGGTGTTGAGGAATTAAGACTGCAAAGCCAAAAGTCTTAAGATTGGAAATGCATTTTATAAAAACCTGGGATCGAATCAGCAAAATCCCCACAGTTCTCACATTTCTTTTCTGACCTGACGTCGTTCTTCAGACTCACTGTGTAGGAAATACGCTGTCAGTGTATTGGCTTAATTTCACACGCAGGGAAACTGTCCGCTTTTGTTGTTCGCTTTCCGGATTTCAGAGGAGCGTGTACTTGTGTCGTTACCACCTGTAGGAGCAGTGGTTCTTAGCCATGTGCATGTGAGTTGCTTGGAGAGCCTCTGAGAAGTACCAATACCAGATAAATCGGAGGTGACGTCCAGGCTTCTGTTTCTGTGTTTTATAAGCACTTACATTTATTCTCTTAGGCAAGCAGGTTTTAGTGGAACCTTGCTTTGGAAAACCCAGGTGAAAAGACACTTTGCGGCTCATTGCTGCCCATCCACTGCCTCACAGTGTCAGTGACACAGTCCGCCCCGAGTGTTCTGCACACGTGAGGCCATATTTGTTACCACATGTTAGATTTGTCTGCATTCGAATCTCCTTTTACATGGAAGAAAGCCAAAGCCAGAGTAAATAAAATGAATGGGGCCCCGCCCAGCATACACTGGTGCTTATGATGGGGCGACCCGCCAAAACGTGGGCTGCAGTGGCTCCAGCTGCCCGCCGGGACCCCCAGAGCAGTGCAGTTCTGATCCCGACCCCCTGTCCCGCAGGCACCATCCAGGAGGATTACCTGCGCGAGCTGCTCACCACCATGGGCGACCGCTTCACGGACGAGGAGGTGGACGAGCTGTACCGAGAGGCGCCCATCGACAAGAGGGGCAACTTCAACTACATCGAGTTCACGCGCATCCTCAAGCACGGGGCCAAGGACAAGGACGACTGAGCAGAGCTGCGAGTGCCCTCTGCACGCTCCTTGTTGCCACTTTGAGTATTGCTGAGATTCTTCTTAGAGCCTGTTGCATGCCTGTAGCTTGACAGCTTTCGCCTCTTTGTTTTGTATTTATTCTCGGCCATTTTGGGGCACTTGTATCTTTATAATCAGACTGGAAGTGGGACTTTTTGTCATTTTCAGAATAGAAGATCGGGTAATTTAACTTACCGGTGGTCCTTTTCCCCCATAACTGCAGTCTACAAAGAGTCAATATATTTTTTCAGAGAAAGTTATTCACTCAATTTTTTCTGAACCATAATTAAACTTTATGATAAAATGCTTGTTTAAGTTTCTTGCTTACCAAAGTTGGCTTGTGAGTTTTAGCTGTATCCTTCAAAGAAGGAGATGAGGTAGTTTCTAGTAAACAACATACATCTTAGACCTCCTTACTCCCCCAAGTTTCCCAAACAATCCCAGCTTCCCTCTTCCTGTTCATCCTGTTTCTTCTGCTCCCAAGGAAATCTAGTTTTCACTGCCCTGAGTAGTTTTCCTGCACTTGGTCTTCCAAACTTTAAAATGATTTCCTGTAGAAGTTGCTTGTATAAATACAGTAATTACTAGCTGTGAATCCCTCAGTTGACACACCTGCTTTATGTCATCTAAGCTTTCGGGCATTATTTCATGCCACTTAAAATTAGATCAGGCCATTGAGTGTTAATTTTCATTTGTCCTGTTTCTTAAACTACTTTAGCTCTAAAGCTCTGAGGAATGCTTTTTACCAAAAAGGCAGACTTGTGCATTGTATTTCAAACTGCACTATTTTTTATTGTGTAGCTTTTCCTTACTACAGCAGCCCCCACTGAAAGCCCATGTTTGTTTATACAGAGATTCACCATGAGTCCCTGTGTGAATTTTAGACATTCCTGACCTGCCCACAATCAAAACAGCTGAAACCACATGCCTGAGAAACTGAGATCACTGTTCCAGTCCTAAAAATAACCTCTGCTATTTGCACAAAGGCAGGACAGCTTTGAGTGATCTGTGGAAGACCAGTCTTATTCACTGTAGGCTTTAAAACTGGACAGTCATAATATTCATGCATTTTAAAAGATTTGAAATGGAGCGGTTCGGTTAAAAAGAATGACAGCCTACAAAGATAATCGATTGACAGTTACTCTAATGACGTCCAGTTTATGCTCCTGTTAACCAGGCTGTGAAGAAAACTGACCTCATCCAATAAAGAATCATCAAATCCTCCAGGCAACATACCTGTGCTCTCCACAGGGGAGGAGCCAGAGCCTGCGGTCTGGTAAGGCAGCTGCGTGGGCTGGGAGCAGCACGACTGGTAACCACTTGTCTTTGCCCCTTCAGGGTTACGATCATAGGACCTGCCCTCTTTCTCTGCCCACCATTCGGTGATTTAAAATAGCTTTTTCCAGGCTGTGACCATTACGCTAAAATTTTGTTGAGTTGAATTTCCATTTCAGCTGAAAAATAATCATCACCTCTGGTTTGTTAACAAATCTCCAACACAGAATAAATAACATTATTTCCACTACAGAAAGAAAGAAGTAGTACTCAAATCACCCCTCGCAGTATCCCCTTTTCTCCTTGGGAGACCTGCTCGAGGAGACAGCCCTCCTCAGGGACAGTGCGTGGTCTTCCCTGAGTGGGACGAGCCTGATTCAGCAGCAGTGTTCTCCACTGTAGCTGGCCTCCAAGGCTTACTCAGGGGTGAGTGCCTGTAGAGAGCTCAGAGTGCCTCCTCCAGCGGCAGAATTGACTGTAAAACTAGTCTAAAAAAGTTTGCGTGCTGAAAATTACCTTGCACAAACCGCTTCCTACGTCCTTGTGACGCTGGCAGAGTGGAGGCAGGGTCACTGTCCAGCTGCTTTTGATCGTGGGGCCCACGTTTGAATTGATCAAGGAACTAAGGTTTACTTTACTTAGCAGGGATTGAGTCCTACATCTAGAAATGCCCATCGCTGTACCTGGTAGCAGTAGATGCTCGGATGGCTCACTTTGAAACTCCAGAGCAGAGCCAATGCAACAGACGCGTGTGCTTGTTAGGACCTCCCTCCCTCTAGACAATTGCTTGATTTCCCTAGAAGCTGTTTTGTTTCGTTAATTTCCTGCTGCCTTTCACAGAGGTTGCAGGAGCTAACTGCCCAGATCAGAGAACTGTTCCGTTATCCAGGGCTGCTTAGCCATTGCCACTTTCTCTTACAACTTCATCTGCCTACTCTTCTGTTCTAAGTATGTCCATTCTTGTTTGGAGTATAGAACTTTTCAACCAGTTCTTTTAATGGATGGAAAATTATCTTTGACTTGCCTATACAATAAATTCCCGGGTGCTAGATTTGTTTAAAAAATTTTTTTCCCTTTTTATTGAGGTTATTGGTACAATCTAGGTATACAGTACAGTTACATTCATCATTGGGATCCTGTACCTTTACATAATGGGTCTTGATTCTCATTTTTTCCCCTTGTCCCTGCCCTCCCTTCACCCCCTCCTCCCCTCCCCATTTATAAACACTTTATTTCCTTTTTTCAGTGTCTCATATTTTTTTTGCTAGATTTTTTGATGATCTGGTTTCATTAATAAATACGCTTTTCTTTGGAGTCTGGAGAGAATATATTACTGTTTTGGAGCAGTGCTGTCCATTAGACATTTATGGTAACGGAAATGCTCTGTGCTGTCCAGTAGGATGCTGGCTGCATGGGGCGATTGAACACCTGAAATGTGAATAATACAACTGAGGAGCCTAACATTAAGTTAAGATTGAATAGCCACGTGTGGTTAATTGTGTATTAGCATAACTCTAGAAAATTAAATACAGAGATCAGAGTAGAGGGTTGGACATGTAACTCAGCAGCAGAGAGCTTGCCTGTTGTACAGGAGACCTGGGTTCTATCTCCAGCATAACAAAACAAAAATCTAGGTACAATCAGGGTGACTCAGCTGGCCAAGGTAAAGGCTTATCTCAGTCACGTGGACTGATGGGCTCTGTGACAGAGGCCTGTGAAGCCAAGATCTGGTGTGTAGAAAGACTTGTTCAGACCCCCAAAGGCAGACTGCAGTTAAGGAAAGGGTGAATATGTAGAACCAGGAGTGACTTCAGATGAGCACCACAGCATCACCATCACCTGGATGCTTAGTAGGGGTGCAGATCCCCCACCTTCATCCTACTGACTTCCTAGAGCCGGATTATGTGTCAGCAGCCCCACCAGGTTATTCTACCACGGTAGTGGAGTGCCAGATACCTGGTCCCTGCCTTCTAGGAATTACTGATTAAAGATTTCTGAGATACGGACTCCCTAAAGGAAGAGAGTTTGAATTATTCAATCCTCTTTCGAGCACCCAGCTCATGTTTAGGCGATATATGCTCAATAAAGATTGGCTGTTATTCTGCAGTGAGGGAAACTCCTGAATTATAGCCACAAACAGCATTTAGAAGGAAACCTGAATAGTAGTGTGAAAGTATTAATCAAAAGTGTATATGACCTGCACAATGTGTACACAGGAGTAACTGTCATCTCTTGAGACCTTAGGAAAGCAAAGAATTTGAATAAATCTTTCTCGTTGAGAGGGGAGTGAAACAGTCACCTCTGTGACTTGATGAGGCCGTAAACCTTATAATGAAGTGGGCAGGAAAGGAAGAGTAGGGGTTGCACAATTTGACTAGACTGGGGTGCGGTTTTAAAAGAAGTGAAAGGGTTTCAGAGCTGGCAGGAATGTGCCCGGCCACCGCCCTCTTTCCTTCCCACATTACATGTAACGTACTCTGAAAAATGACTTGTTTATCTGAAATTCAAGTTTAACCAGGCTTGCATTTACTAAACCTGGCAGCCTGGTCGGGCCGCTTCCGGCGCTGGGGAC